CGAGCATCTTTTGTAAAAGTAATTAAAACAGAAAATTCATTACATCTCATAAACGAAGACAGATAGGACATATATTTATATAACTTTTTTTCATTACTTTTAGACGTACAATCAGCTCCCGAAGTGAGTCGCACAAGTTACGAAACACCCTGTACAATATCAAAAACTATAATTATATAATTATATATAACATCACAAACTTTACAATTTATATATAATATCAAAAATCACTTTTTACTAAAAGACAAAACCGTATTTTTAATTTGCGAACGCTCCGACGGTCGACACTTGAGAAAAATAAATTTTAAAGCATAATGAAAGAAATCATCGAACTTGAATTTAACTTGAAATTAATAAAATTAATTTTTTCTTACGTCTTGTTAAAGAAAAAAAAAAAAAAAAAAATAGGTGGGAAGAAACGTTTGAACCATAATTTCGTAAGAAGTAAAAATTTCTCGAAATTTATTCGATCACGTTGAAAAGCAATTGCAGCATTTAAAAAATTCCAATATCATCGATATTATCTCAGTTGCTCTACGAGACACGTAGAACAATCAGTTATACTTTGATCAATTTTCTACCAACAAATGTGATTCATTTTTACCACATTCTTACTACGATTATTTATTGACAACTTATTTTACCATGTTACTTCGTCTTTATATACTAAATATAATCATTGATAGTCACATTACGGCGTCGAATTACGATATTTTCTACAAGCCGGAGTATATGAAGGTTCGTGATAAGATATCTAAAAAAAGAAAAAAAAAAAAAAATTGCGCGAATAAAAAGAGATTGCTGGTCCGACTGACCGGTTGACAGGAAATCAAGGGTGTGTGTATCGGCTGTCTGGTGGTGTGCGTGCCGTTGGTGATGTAAAGTCTGGGCGTGAGCAAGCCCCTGAGATTCTGTGCGTGCGCGGAGCTCTGGGAATCTCGGCGTTCCGGCGAGCAGGAAGCGGAAGCGGTGCCCTCGCTGTCGGAGCTCGCGCTGCTCGGCGGCGTTGGCGGCAGACCCTGCCTGGAGCCGCGCAGATCCGCCTGTTTCTCCTCGCTTGCCTCTCCGTGATACTCCTCCACCTTCATACTCTGTGACACACGAACTTCTTCCCTTTTAGCATCTCGTTACCTCGTTTCTTTTTTTTTTTTTTGTAAGAAAATCTTCTCTTTGCCTCTTTCGGAAAATTCTAACTACGAAGATAAAAAAGTGAATTCTACACGCGTCAAATTACGAAACGTTCGACACGTGTCTTCACCTATGCACCCAATGTCGTTCCATTTTACATGGGATAATTAACTGTGATTCAGTATTCGACGTTATCTGTTGGGACAGGTGATTTTCACGATCGTTTGAACAATTGTCGCACGTTGTGCCAATTATCTTCAATATTTATACTTGTTGGAAGGAATCTGATAAGAAGTTGCACTACATTTTAATCAAAAGAAGCCTCTGTTCTTCTACGATTGAAGAAAATAGAACATGGAAGAACATGGAATAATAAAATATAGAGGAGCACAGGACTTTTATATTTTACATAGAATATTATTTTATATAAATAAAATATTTAAAAAATAATTTAATTGATAACTATATATAATATAACAATTGATAACAATATTATATTTTATATATAATATTTATATAAATATTTGTATAAAAACATTTTTATAAAGCAAACATTTATATAAAATAAAAATACTAAATAAAATAGAATATAGAATAGAATGTGGAAATAAAATAAAAATATCAGGCAAATAGAATATTATTTTATACAAAATTTAATGATAATTTAATTAATAATAATATTATGCTGTATACAGAATATTTATATAAAAACATTTTTATAAAATGAACATTTATATAAAATAAAAATACTAAATAAAGAAAATAGAATATAGAATAGAATGTAGAAATAAAACTTATAAAATATCAGGCAAACAGAATATTATTTTATATAATAATAAAATATTTAATTTAACTGATAATACTATTATATTTTATATAGATTATTTGTATAAAAATATTTTTATAAAATGAACATTTATATAAAATAGAAATATTAAATAAAGAAAATAGAATATAGAATAGAATGTGGAAATAAAACTTATAAAATAAAAATATCAGGCAAATAGAATATTATTTTATATAATGATAATTTAATTAATAATAATATTATACTGTATACAGAATATTTATATAAAAACGTTTTTATAAGATGAACATTTATATAAAATAAAAATATTAATTAAAAGAAATGAAATATAGAATAGAATGTAGAAATAAAACTTATAGAACAAAAATATCAGGCAAAGAAAATAGAAATTACCTCGTAATATTCCTCGTCGTCCTCCTCGCTGTCGCTCGTCTGCGACACGTGGTTCTTAGAGAAATGAAGATTCTGAGAGAACACCATGGTTATCGGGCTTTTGTCGTCGGCCATGGCCGATCGACAGGATTCAGAGGGGCTGCTGGGTGCGCTGATCGGCTCGTCCTTGATCTCTATGCACTCCACGTCTTCAGGTACTAAGTTGTTTCTTCCCTTTAGGATAATCGTTGAGGTAGTGGACGCGGACGACGACGAGGGTAACTCGTCGCTGTCCGACGCGTGGTTCATCGAGATCGCTGGGAAACACTCCGCTTCCATGTCTGTGGAAAACCAACGCAACATCACGCGTCTTTCGCAATCTATCTTTCATCAGCGAAATAAACACCTTTTATCAGTCGAATGTGTTAATAATCTACGGGTTATTAACGGAAAGACTTTAAACTTCCTATCATCTGCCATTGTAAGAAAGCTGAGTCAAACAAGGAAATTATGTGTACAAATGGATTACAATGAATTCGCTATCCAGTTATTAATGTACAGAGTGAAAAGGAAAGAAATTTGAATTGATGAATTCTACACACGTAAATAATCTACCGCAAAATTCACTCAAACCTTGAATTTCTAGGTCAAAACTTTTTTTTTCCTTTTTTTTGCATTGTATTCTACTCATCGCGAAAGTAATATTTCTCCCGAGGAATCAGAGATTGCAGCCTAATAGTTCTCTTGAGAAATGGCAGAAAAGTTTCTTAATCGGTCAACACTGCGGATGAGTCCTAACAGCGACTTTATGGTCTCCGACGCGTGGATGTCTATTTTACGTAAATTTCGTATTAGGTTTCGCTAGTATATTTGATTTATCATGGTTGTAGCATCAGTGTGAATTTAAATAATCAAATGTTAACATTATATATACATTTCAGAACCATAAAGTCGCTGTTAGCACTCATCAGCAGTGTTAAATCGTTAAGAAACTTTTTTGCCATTTATCAAGAGAACTATTGCGATCAGTTCCTTGAAAGAGTTTTACTTTCGTGATGAGTAAAATACAATGAAAAAAAAAATTTTATATATATATATATATATATATATATATATATATATATATATATATATATGTAGGAATGCCGGTTTGAGATCCCAATTTGTAGGAATTTTGTTAAAGAATAGTTGTTTTATATTGTTTTATTTAAGGTCAAATAAAAGAAAATTTGTTTAACGATGATTATAAATGACGTTTTACACTATTTCCTTAATTGCTAAACTCGCTAGGCTCGCAACTCTTAATTCACTCTCCTCTCTCTCTCGCGCAACTCTCAACTCACTGTCTTCCTTCTTTCACGGCTCGCTCACTCTGCTCTCTCCGACGTCTCGACGCTCTGTTCTCTCTGGCTTCTCGACACTCACTGCCTTTTTCATCTGCACAAAAATTCGTCATTCATGCACACACACACACACACACACACACACACACACACACACACACAAATGCATCTATACCCTTAATGGCTTAAGCGCTAAGCCTGGAGGGCTAGCCATAAACAATCCTAAGTCTAACTTTCTCTACAGTTCATGGTACACCACTTGGGACATCTACAATTGTCGGGCACTGGAGAGAGTTCTGGGCCCATCCTACATATTCTAATAAAAATATATTTTAATAAAAATCATTCAAATCTCTGAAAATTCACTGTTACGAATATGAAAGTTCTATTTGGGAAATTGAACGCCTTGTAGAAATTTAATTTCCACTCTTACCATCGATTCTGCTTCGAATGTCCAACGATTTGTGGTGATCTAGGTTAGTAGAATCGATGGAGGAACTGGTGGCGGAGAGAGGAGCGTCAACCCTATCGACGGACGACCCGGAATTGGGCGTATGGGGGTTGGCACCGGGTGTCGCGGGGCTCGGCGGAGGGCTCGACGTCAACAGGCTGTAATTATGCTCGGACTTGATCGGTCGTGGACCTCCGAGGGCGGCATCTGTCATCAAACGATCCCTCAACACTACTCCCATCGAGGATTTGTCACGCACGTTCAACGCGTTGCCCCATTCTTCTTCTTTGGTCCCCATGAGAACATCCTGGCCGAGTCCCTGCAAAAGACACGTACATACGTCATCAAATTGTCTGAGAAAAAAATATGTATATAATGTACATATGTTATAAAATATTGTTACAGATTGTACATAATATGTATATAATGTATATATGTTATAAAATATTGTTACAGATTGTATAAAATATAATTTGTATATAGTATAAATTTGTAAAATATAATTTGTATAGAATATAAATTTGTAAAATATAATTTGTATACAATATAAATTTGTACAATATAATTTGTATACAATATAAATTTGTACAATATAATTTGTATACAAT